AACTACCTGTAGTACCTGCATACACATGCACACACACACATGCACACACACACACACACACACACACACACACAAAAACATACACATAAAGAGAGTGTTAGTATTCTATTTAACTGAATTGATTTTCAATCTTTGTCACAACAGAAAAATGCCTGAATTTTCCCTGTGTTAGGTTTTCAAACAGCAGTAATCTGTAGGCCAGTGTAGGCCTTTTTGTCCTCGTGTGCTGAAAACGCACACGAGCAACAGCACACATGATTGACAGCACGTGCGTGCCCACACACCCCTTCCCTTGCGCATGTGTGTGTGACCCCCCACTGCTCCTGCCCCTGCGCATGCGTTCATGACTCCCCCATGCCCTGTTTTGGGCCTATCAGGCCTCCCTGAAGCCTCCTGGGACCAAAAATGGGTCGTGGAGGGGGGCACACCATACCCCCCACACTTTCCCCGTGAATGCACTAGTGTCCTCTCCACTCCCCCCCCCCAAGCATGGTGGAGACCCGACAATCAGCTGGCCAGTGGGAGGCGTGCACCCCCCTGTGGCCCATTTGGGGCTAGCAGGCCTCCCTGAAGTCTCCTGGGACCAAAAATGGGGCATGGGGGGGACGCCGCACTCCCCATACTTCCCCCTGTGAATGTACGAGCAACCCCCCTACTCCACACGCATGTGTGCGCGTCTCCTGTATGCGCGGTAGAGACTCAACAATCAGCTGGCCAGCAGGAGGTGTGCACGCATACATAATGGAGCTGACCTGCAGTGACGGCTTGCATGCCCGCAGAGAGGGCTCTGCGTGCCACTTGTGGCACACGTGCCACAGGTTCGCCATCATGGCTGTAGGCCTTCAAAAAATCATGGCACTCTATTGATTAAAGTCTTTGGTGTTTCAAGTATTGTAAACATACTTACATTTTAGCTATAGGAATAAAGGAACTATATTATAAATTTTGTGATTCTAATCCTAAAAATAGTATATATATTTTCTCTCCTGTTTTAAAGAGAAATGCTGTCAATATGCCATTACTTTAGGGAACATCAGGATGGCTAAGCACAAAAAGATCTAGTTTGAGAATTTTGAATCTTTGCAAGAGAAAGGAAAAAAATATCAAGAGACTAATATTTTTCATTTGCTTCTAATCTGAGAGGCACTTCACATTAAATGTTTGAGTCAGATAAAGTTTTTTTAGATGCTGCTAAAACTGCAAAATCAAGAACGATATTTTGAAATGAAGCCAGACAAAGATTCTTCCCATCTCTGACTTTCATTTTCAGCATTCCATATTCTTGCTTTAAATGCAAATAAAAATGCTGAACTTCATACCTTAACATTGAAACCAATATTTCACTTGTTTCTACAATGCACTGTAGCAAAAGATTGAAATGCTTGGTAGGGCTGACTTTGTTGTTAGAAGTGATGAATTTGTTTTCTCAATCCCCAAATGTTACGTGCTGTAGTCCACAAGCTGACATTCAAAATTTTGAGCATTATTGATTGCTCTGCATATGTGCTAGGGATGTTATTTGTGCCAACTGAAATGGTTGCTACTGAGTAACATTTCTGATGCTTATTTTATCTTTAAAAAATAAAGCAATAAATCATAGCCAGGGATAGGAACTATTTAATAGATAGAATGCTAGGTTTAAGGTGACTGGTGCTTTTTTTGTTTCATTTTGTTACTAACATCTATACTACCTGGTCATTCTGCATTATAAGCACAACCTTTGTAATATTTGTCTTGTTTTTCCTGTGATATCATTGCCTATTCTGTAACATTGCATTGATAGGATTGCTATTCCCAGGATAGTAATGTTACTTGTTTGTCCCGTGTCCTGCCAGCCTCATGGATAGCAGGCATAAAGCTAGAATTACAGTTTATTCTACTCTAAATAGTTATTTACTACTTGGCAGAAATGTTTTCTTGCCACACACTAATCCATAATAAAATATGAGCAGTTATGTGCTTGTCAAAAAGGAATTTGTATGCAAATAACAATGCTTCTTGAACTCTGTATTGTCTCGCTTTCTCTGCTTCACTTTCTGCCTGTCCTTTTGTCTGCTGTCATAATCCAGGATCCAGATCAGCTAACCCTGCAGGTGGTAAGAAACACCTTTTTGTTTTCAACTCTGTTTATGTATCTGTACTGTCTCTCATGCTACTGTTTTTAACTGATTCAATGTCTGAAAGTCTAGTATTCCCAGAGGCTTTTAAAAAAACCTAGTATTTTTAAAATTAAAGTTTAGCTAGAAAAAAGTTTAGATACATGTATGATGTACTTAGACAAAGTACCTGTGTGTACGTTCAGTGAGCAGTGGGACTCACTCCTAGGTAACAGGGTGTTAGGATTGTAAATTTGAAAAACTGAAAAAGGATTTGAAGATGCCTTCAAATGTTTATGGAGATGTTGTAAGTTAACACCAGCAGGGACAAGCCTGACATGCTATTTTTGAAACGACAGAATTGCAAAGATAGGTTTTCATAATACAAATTGTATTGTATTTTTGGCAATTGCTCAGTCAGTGTTGTGGTTGGAAGATAAAGGAAAATTTCAAAAAAGTTTCCTTGTGAGTTGCATGAGAAAAAACAAACAATGAGACAGAAATTGTGTATATGCACGTGCATGTGTGAGAGAGTCCCCTTGCAAATGAGTTATTCAGTTGCTTCTGTATAAAATATAGCTTGCTGGTATGACTGATCCTATTTGACCATTTTCAAGGTGAGTAGTATCATTCAAGGTTGTGTTTCTATTCATCCATCATCCTCAATGCTTTTTATTGTTGTTAACTTAACTTATGTTGTTAACCCACTTTTTAAACATATCTTTATCTTGAAGAATTTCTGTATCCTGTTTTATTTTTAATTTACTATTAATTAAACTGAATTTTTAATATACACTTAGTAAATTTAATGGTTTGAAATGTTCTGAAGACTTAAGAGCATTTACCTTTTTTTTTTTTGTAGCTGGTAGTCGATCCAGCTCTCCTGGGAAGCTGTTGGGAAGTGCATATGGAGGGCTTAGCAGCGGAACAACTAGAGGACACCCAGTGCCAACACCATCCTCATCTACTGACAAACGCAGTAAAGTCCCCCGAAGTCAGGGCTGCAGCCGAGAGACCAGCCCTAGCAGGATAGCTCTAGGTAAGAGTTTTCTTGGCTGCAATATAGAGCCAAGAGGCTGATTTCTTCTCTCATGCTGATTGGCCAAAAGAATTTCTGAAATAAATTATAGTTTTGCTATAATGATTTCATAGCAATGGTTTTCTGCTGAGTTTCTTAATAGCATCATAGGTCAAGAGAGCAGATGAAGTTGCCAGTGGGGTTAGCATAAATTGTTTATACTTATTGTTTTAATTAGAAAAGAATCATTTTCTAATTAAACAACATTGTTTTAATTAGAAAATATTTCTTCCTTCAGGTATGTTTTATTTCCATTTTCACTTGGCATGGTTCAGTGCCATTTGATGATACCAAACGTATTGTCTTACAGGTATAATACAAGATTCTCCTCCTTTAATTCTCCCTTTGAGTCTGTTGTTTTTTTCTCTGATCAAAAATTGTGCCTATTGCTTTTAGGTTAAATACTAAACTTTATATGTAGGATTATTTTTTAATGAACTTGTTAGTATTACTATAGATATGTGACTGAACCCAAAGAACTGTTCTATCTTTGGATATATTAATTGTGCACAAATGCCCAACTACACATTATTAATATAAAATGGTAGCTTAGAACAGTGGTGGGTTTCAAATTTTTTTAGAACCTATTCTGTAGGTGTGGTCTGTTTTGTGGGAGTGGCTTGGCAGTCATGTGACTGGGTGGGAGTGACCAACTTGATGTCACTCACCAGGAGATCTCATGGATTGGGTAAAATGTGGTGAAGCTCACTTAACAACGCTCTTGCTTAGTAACCAAAATTTTGGGCTCAATTGTAGTCATAAATCAAGGACTATCTCTGCCTTCCTCTGCATGGCAGCCTTGTCCTAGTAAACTATTTCTCCTTACTGGCAATTTTCCTCTCTGTTACTCTGTAACCCAGAGAATGTAAGTTCTTCTGCTGCAGCAGGGGGTTGGAGTAGATAACCTCCGAGTAGCCTTCTAACCCTAAATTACTGTGCTGTTTTTCTTTCTTTCTTTCTTTCTTTCTTTCTTTCTTTCTTTCTTTCTTTCTTTCTTTCTT